AGACAACAATATGCAATGTATTAATTATTGTAACTGTCCTACTAACCTGTTTTGAAACTGTCTCATTGCTATTTGTTTCTCAATAAAATTAATAAAAAACATGTACTGTTTTCTATGTGGCTTCTTATATTTACCATGATGGTTTTAAGACTCATCCACATTGTACCATGTTTTAGTACTTCCTTCCTTTTTAGGCTGAAAAATATTGCACAGTATGGCTAACATTCTGTTCAACCTTCCTCAGCCAACAAACATTTGAGGTGGCTTCCACTTTTTACTATTATGAATAATGCTACACTGAACACTTAGGTACATGTTTTTATGTGGCTATGTACATATTTTAATATTCTTGGGATGGTACCAAGGAGTATAATTTCTAGGTCATCTTTTAATTCTATTTTGTTTTGAGGGACTGCCAAACTGTTTCTCCAAAGTGGCAATACCACGTCACATTCCCACCAGCAATATGAAAGCTCTAGTCTCTGCACACACTTGCCAATATTTACTATTATACTATCTTTTTATACCAAGACCCCTTCCTCATTCTGAATAGAAATAAAGTATCGGGAATTGGGATGGAAAAGTGCACCAATGGGTGTATCGTTTCTAATTTTTTTCTTTTACTATTTTATATTCTTTCGATAATAATTTAAAAATTAACATTAAAAATTTAGAAAAAAAAATACACCAGTGATAGCAGAATGCAGTGCCAAGACCCTAGTCTGTGAAGAAATGTCCCCAGGAAAAAAAAAGTGAAATGGGCTCAGCACTCACCTGCTGCAGGTCGGCGAGGGAGTACAAGTGGATCTGCTGAAGGAGGTATTCTCGAGGGAAGATTCTGAAAACAAGGGCAGACATGTAAGTGAACTATTGCACCATGAGACTTTCTTGAGGTTCAAAATCTCATTCAAAAAACTGTTTTCTTCTGTCCTTTTCCCTTCCTGTGTACTCCTACTCCCCAAACCCTCTAAAAAACCTGTAACAATATCTTTTTCTTATAGTTTGCTTTCTAACATCAATGTCAGAGTGGTGCTTCTTTTGCACTATTAGGAACTAAGACTCTCAGACATACTAGGCTCTACCACTGAACTACTTCCCCGGCCCTTTTCAAATTTTAAGATAGGGTTTTGGTACATTGCCCAGGCTGGCCTTGAACTTGGCAATTCTCCTGTCTCAACTTTCTGGGTAGATGGGATAACAAATGTGCACCACTTCACCTGACTTGGCTTTTATTTTTAAGGTACTGAGGACCAAACCTGGAGCCAATGGGGCAAGTGCTCTACCACTGAGCTATACTCCCAAGTCTGTCAAGGTCTTTCATTTTTAATAGAATCTGAAATGCTATAGTACTGCGGAGTAGGTCCAGGTCTGCAGATCAGAACACTAGGCTTCTTGTACCAAGCGTGTTCTAACAGTGTAATGTCAGGTAAACCCCAGACCCACCTGGCTCCAGTTTCTACACTGTGATGAGGGCAACTAAACTTGATGTTTCTAACTGTCTTTCTGGGTGTAACACTGTATGCCTAAATTAACTGATATTAGAGTTGAGTAACACTGTCATGGCAACCTATGTGTTTGTCTTAGAAGCTTCTATGGCTTTCATTAATGGAGAACAGTGGTGCTGACCATCACATTAACGAGCCATATGAAATGCATAGTAATGATAATTTCTCAAATCCAGGTGTGATGGTTCATCTTGAGTGTCAACTTGATTGGTTTGAAAGAAACTTAGGAGATTAATAAAGCACATTTCTGTATGTATCTGGATGGGCCCTACTGGCTTAACCTTAGCGAATCTGTCTGGTCCCTGGCTACTTCTCGCTACCTTTTCTGTTCTCTGCTTCCCAGATGCCCCGAGTTGAGCAGCTTTCCTCTACCTCACCCTTCTGCCCTGATCTTCCTGCCTTGGCACCAATTGACCATGGACTGAAACCTCTGAAACCATGAGCCAAATAAACCTCTCCTGTAAGTTGTGGGTGTCAGGTATTTTGTCCAAGCAATGCAAAGGTGATTAATACAGCAGGTATAGGTGTAAATGATGGGGAAAACATTCTGAATTGGGGCTCCCAATAAAGTCCTGTATCTTTTTTTTTTTTTTTTTTTTTTTTTTTTTTGTGGAACCAGGGATTGAACTCAGGCCCTTGTGCTTGCCAGGCAAGCACTTATTCTACTGAGCCATCTCCCTGGCCCCTAAAGTCCTGTATCTTTGACTACTGTTAGTTTACAGGATCTAGCTAGATGACAGTGAGCGAGTAGGAAAAATCAACCAATTATGAGTTAGGTGATAGGTGTTAAAGTACAGATAGTTACAGAGCATCACACAAAGTAAACCCAAAACTAAACTCATGGTGCTAGCATTTTCTCTGCTTGTCATCTGTGGTTCTATGCAACTACCTTGTGCCTTAAATGAAAGTAACCATCAACTTATTCAGTTAACATTTCTGACTATCCACTAGATGCCAAGCATTGTGCCACATAATAGGAAGATAATTATAAATAAGACAGTCCCAGTGTCTGCATTCAAGAAGCATAAAGTCATCCAGGTATGGGCATGACTATCCCAGCTATTTGGGAGGCTGTGGTAGATGGATCACATGCTCAAGCCTAGGTTGGGAAACTTGGGCAGGTTCAATATCGAATAAAAAAAGTACTCTCCCAGGGATTAGAACATTCAGGGTTTAGAACCAGTGATCTAATATCCAGGTCACTGGGAAATTCATTATTGAATCTTTCAGTTAGGAACACATTCATTTGCAAATCCTAGAGATTAAGTTGTCTATCCTCCCACCCACCAAATATTGACACACTATACACCAGGTACTGTACTGGGTCACAGAAAAGGAGGTGTTCAATCAGTTAGACAAAGTCCTTATAGCATAGAGGACTGGGCTGCTGTATTCTAGTTTGGAACTCTCCTGGGTGGTAGGATAGACACTGAAAACCTCTTTGGAAAAGCAAGGCCTCCTCCACAGGAAAGAAACTAGGCTAAGAAAGTGACAAAAACATATTCTGGGAAACAAATATAGTTCCTTAGGCTGGTCTCTTCAATGCTGATGGCTCAGGGCTGTACCCCTGGCAGGAAACACAGTGCAGTCCCAAAGAGCTGGGTAAAGTAGAAAGAAAATGCTCAATTCCTCCCTATGGCATTAGCTTCCCTACAGAAAGGCCTGCTGTGGAAGGTGGACCACTGTCCTTTGAGAGACCACAAAATATATCCAGTCTCCATTTCCAGAAACACACAATATGACAAAAGACAATTAAGAGAACTATTCTTCAGGATACTGTTATTATTAAACACTAATATTAAAGCCCTACATGGGATTTGTACTTGCCATAGGTATTTCACTGCCCTTGCAATGGGCCCACATAGTAAGTATAACCTCCATTTTACCTAAGAGGACTGGGGCTCAGAACAAAGACTAACTTGCCAATGTCACAAAGCTGGAATTCAAGGCTAAGATTTTTTTTAGTTCAAAGGCTTATGCTTCCAGTTTCTTGGGGGTATAAGAAGAGGAAGGAAGGATATGGGATTGAATTGACTAATTCCAAATTTTCTTATTTGTAAAATGTTCACACATTCATATCCCTTACTCAGCTTGTTGACATCTTATGTTACCATAGGTCATTGATTTAAATTCAGAAATTATTATTATGTAAACTAAAGACTTCACTCATGTGTTACCAGTTGTTTGTTCTAGGATTCAATCCAGAATACAACACAATTTAGAGATTGTTGTTATTAAATATGTGGTATTTAAGCATTTTCAAGGTGACTTGAGATAAATGTGTCAGAAAAGGAAAGCTTGGACAGTCTTTCAGTAGGATTCTAAGGGTGGCAGAGTATGATATTCTACTACATGGGGACTAAGGATGATGTTTTGGGGATAGTTGAATGGGAAGATTGATCATTTTTCTCCTTTTCTTTGCAGTTCTGGGGATTGAACCTATAGCTTCACACCTATGAAATGCTCTAGCACCAATCTATACTTGGAACAATCCTTTTGAGAGGTAGCAGTAAATAATGACATCCTTAAATAAAGAAGAATGAAAAGAATGTGGCAGCAGTGGACGTATGACTAAGGCATGAGTCAGGTGAGTGGGCTGGAAAGTCATTTCAGGATGAGCTCTCACTTCTGCTGCTGGATTGCAAGAACAAAAATGAGCTAGAGAGAGTCAGAAGGAAGATGACTGAAATGACGTACACCAGGTACAAAGACGACAGGATCGTATAACTATAATGTCATGCCACTTTCCAACTTTCTCTTCTCTAACATCCTCAAATTTCTATGACAACAATAGCCAGTCAGCTATACAGTCAACAAGCACTTACTGAGTGCTTAAAATAAGCCATCATTGAGGTAGTTGTTGGAGAAGGATACTTTAATGAACACAATTAATAAACACAAAGAGAATTTCCAGTTTCCCTTTATTAGGTCCTTCTTGCTTCCAAACACTGTTCATTTATCTTTTCCCAAAAGGTAACCAACTTTGGTCATGTTATCTCTAATATTCCTTCAATATTATTTGTACAGCTAGTTTATTTAGTAAGTATGGAAGTACATTTCACATAGACTTATTTTCCCTCTCCCTTTAAGAGAGATTCTAAGCTCTTCCAGAAACATTCTGTTTCCCTTTAACACTCTTCAGTGTCTGATGCTGTCATTTACACTAGATCAGTCATGACAGACAAAGAACTGGAAAATGCAATATATGCAGAAAAGATAAGGGAACCAAACTGATTGTTGTCTAGGGAACATGTTGTCTCCAAAAGACCGAGTGGTGGTCACTAAAAGCACAGGCTTTGAAGGAGATAATTCCAATTAGCACCTCCTCTCTCTGGAGGAAGGAAGTTGTTGCAGAAAAGTACTGAAGTAAATTGGGAGAATAAATTTTCAGAGAGGGACTCTTGGAGGTATTAAAAATGAATATGTTATATAGTTTTGGGAGCAAATAAAGATGAAAAAGACTATCTGCAGTTTTCCAGGTACAGCTGAGATCTTCTGTTTAGAGGAGGTAAGAGTATCCTTGGCAGGGCCAAATAAGAGCTTCCTGCCCCTTGTTCCTTTGCATCCTAAGACAGACTCAACTAGCAATACATTCCCTGACTAGCTCCAGTAGACCAAGGGAAAGATGGTTGAATAAAGAGAGGAGGCAAGCCCAGAAAAGTGGACCATGGCAGCTATGCATCTGGGAGACACCTAGGACTCCTCCCTGCTGTGGTTGCAATTGTACAGGATAGGGGTCCTGGAGTAAATGGACTGAACAAGCAGGGATCCTTGGGTCATTTCTCTTTTACTCTGATGTGTACAAGGGATTGTGGAGAAGCTGGAAGCCCATGGCCTGCTTGGGAAAACTAAGCTGCCTGAGGCAGATCTAAGTTGGGAAAGACAGGACTCCTCAGACTAGGCATATACTTCAGGGACTGCAGGTGAAGTCTTCATGTCCGGAAGGCAAAGCTTGGTGTCTTAAAGTAATCAGGTCAGCATTATTTTACTATTAATTATTCAGTAAAGAATGGATGATTATTTGCATTCTTTTTCAGGAAACACTTGTGATCACCTTATTTCCCTTGAATTAAATTCAAACCTCAGCATACATTTCATTGCAACAAATAGATTCAGGGTTCATAATATATGCCTGGCAGTGTACTGGGGCCTGATGATTCAGAAATACTTTTTTGTTCTGCTTTGTTTTTTTGTGATAGGGAGTTCAGGCTGGCCTTGAATTCACTATGTAGCAGAGGTTAACCTTGCACTCAACCTCCTGCTTCAACCTCCTGAGTGCTAGGATTACAGGCATGCACCACCATGCCCAGCTGGGAAAGACAGTTTTTTAATC